TGGTTTTCCTGCTTTCGGCACTTTGCTCTCCTGTTCTGGAACCAGACCTGTGAAAAGAAAAGGCAAACAAAACCAAAAAAAAAAAAAGCAACAACAACAACAAAAAAAATGGAGGTAGACTAGGCAGCCGCTCAGAAAGCGGATTATCTGAGTGAGGGGCGAGGGATGGAGGGCCGGGGTCTCCGCACAACTTTGCTGAGGTCCCTGCTCGGCAGCAGGGAGTGAGCCCCTCCATGTGCTGCGGGGGGGGGGGGGGGGGGGGGGCTGGGGGTGTTTTTTTTGGAGGGGGTGCTGCTCTTTGGTGTGGTTTCTCAGCGGGAGCTGAACCAAGGAGATCAGAAGCGCCCTCCCAGCCGGGGAGACCGGGAGCCGGCCGCTTCGCACCCAGTCCCCCCTGTGCCCCGGGGTGGCCCAGTGGCTGTCCTTGTGCCACCCCTCTGGGGCTGGGGGACGCTCCCACAAACACTTCGAGTAAGGCCACAAGCAGGCCGGGGGGGACCCTGGCTGCCTTTCCCCCCAAACGTGACAGCCAGGGTGGGCCATGTCGTGCTCCGGGGTCTGGCCCCTGAGCGACAGGGCCTTCTGCTCCCTCCCCAGCTGGGTTTGGAAACCATCAAGACCTCAGAGAAGATGCGAGATACTGAACTTGCGCAAAGGGACTGAAATCATTCCCCAAACGTTAACAGAAAACAAACCCCGCTTCTGTAGAGTTCTAGGCAGACAAGAGCAACATCTTTGCAGACGGAGATGTAAAGAAGCGTTTATGCCCCTACCCGAGAAACGCCTGTAACCCAGTAATCCTGCCCCAATTCCAGCCATTCTGACTCAAACAAGCGCAGAATTTGGGAGCTGCCGCTGCGCCTCCCCTGCCTCTGTTCCGGGGGCATTTCAGCCCTTCATTACTGCTCCCCTTCCGAGGTGCTGCCCTAGCAGCCCTTCCCAAGGGATCCTCGGGGGCACGGCCCAAAATATTTTGCGGACGCTTATCCTTACACCAAAACCTACCGAATATTCACAAACATTGACTTTCACCGCTGATAAAATCTTGTAGCTAAGTAAACACCTACAACCTTTGATGTTCTTGCACTTGCCAAGAGATCATACGGTTAATTAATACTAACTGCACTTCCTACATCAAATTTCCCCTTCAAGCTTTCTTCAATTGCCTTAATGATGGTCATTTACAACGGAGTAATTAGTGCAAAGAAAGGCTTCCAAAGGCATTAATTACCTCGGGTACCTCAGTGATTTTCTTAAGTAGGAATTGGCCGCCTCTGATTTGGAGCACCATTTTTCCTGCCCGGGGGTGGCCGAGGAGGGGGGGGGACCGCGCAGCGAGCTGACGGGCGGACGGGCAGCGGGGCGCTGCGGGGACGGACCGACCGACGGACCGACGGCTCCCGTTCCCCGCCTGCTTGTCGCTAGCGCAGCCCTCCCCGCGCTAACCGGGCACCGCTGCCGCCCCGCTGCCCTGCAACGTTACAGCACCAGCCCGAATTGGGGTTTTTTGGGGGGGTTTGGTTTGGGTTTTACGTCCCTACGAGCAACACGCAAATATTAACAACACGCACCGCTTCTCCTCTTAACCGGGTCGTGAGGGATTTATATCTATATTTTTAAATACGAGCATGCAAAATATCATCCTGCTGTAGCGACAACAATACACTTTTTTTTTTTT